CTTTTCCTCCTCCTTTCTTCTTCTTTTTCTCTCTTCCTCCTTCCCTCCCCCCCTCTCCCCTCTTATCATTTTCTCCTCTTTCTAAATCGAGGAGGAATTTCACTTCTGCACAAAATTAACCACCATTTTGAAGTGATGACATCATAGCATTCATGGCTCACAATGCCAGTGCAACCACCTCTATCTATTCCAGGAATATTTCATCACCCCTGAAGAAAGCCGCCACACAATAACCATGGCCATTTTATCATTGCCCCTGGCTACTACCAGTCTGCTTTTGTCTCTAGATTTATTCTGGACATTTCCCACGGAAAGCGGAATTGATGTTGCCTCTTTAAACACTTCTTTCCTTCAAGAATAAGCTTTTTTTGGTAATTCGCCTTGTGCCGTAGTACATGGATCGGAACGCTACTCCTTTTTTATTTTTTTATTATTTTTTTATTTTTATTTTATTTTTGAGAGAGAGAGAGACAGAGTCCTGGTGCAGAGGAGGGGGCACAGAGGAGGGAGACACAGAATCAAGCAGGCTCCAGGCTCCCGGAAGCACAAGAGACCCCGGGACGTGGGGTCAACTCACAAACCATGAGATCATGACCTGAGCCGGGAAGTCACTGGACGCCCAACCGACTAAGCCACCAGGAGCCTTGTAACCAGATTCAAGTGACAGTTCTTGTTCTTGAAGGAACATGTAGTAAAAGGGTCAATACTGAAAGAGTAAATAGGGGTTGCCAGATAAATGTAGGTACAGGACATATTCATACCGAAAAAATTATTCATTATTTACCTGAAACTCAAATTTAAGGGGCATCCTGTATTTTTATTTTGGTAAGTCTGGCAACCCAGAATGTACCATAAGAACAAAAACCAATGTGAAAATTGTGTGGTACACACTACAAGTAGGGGCTGAAACCCACATGACAGATGGAGGGCTTTTAGGTGGCTCAGTCGGTTAAGCTGCCTGACTTCAGCTGAGGTCGCGGACAGTGCTCAGAGTTCTAAGTCCAAGTCGGCTCTGTGGTGACAGCCTCGAGCCTGAGCCTGCCGATTCGTGTCTCCCCTCCTCAGCCTCTCCCCTGCTCACACTCTGTCTCTCCTGTCTCAAAATATATAAATAAATAAATAAATAAATAAATAAATAAATAAATATTTAAAAAAAAAGACAGATGATAATCCAGACCTGAGCCGAAGTCGGACGCCCAACCGACTAAGCCACCCAGGAGCTCCTAGAATCCAGATTCTTCTAAGTGACAGTTCTTGTTCTGAAGGAACATGTATTCCAGTAAAAGGGTCAATACTGAAAAACTATAAATAGGGCTGCCAGATAAATTTTGCACAGGACATATTCATACCGAAAAATTATTCATTATTTACCTGAAACTCAAATTTAAGTGGGCATCCTGTATTTTTATTTGGTAAGTCTGGCAACCCAGAATGTACCATAAGAACAAAACCAAATGTGAAATTGTGTGGTACACACTACAAGTAGGGTTGAAACCCAGACATATGACAGATGGAGGGGCGCCTAGGTGGCTCAGTCGGTTAAGCGTCTGACTTCAGCTGAGGTCGTGATCTCACAGTCTGTGAGTTCGAGCCCCATGTCGGGCTCTGTGGTGACAGCTCGGAGCCTGGAGCCTGCTTCGGATTCTGTGTCTCCCTCTCTCTCCGCCCCTCCCCTGCTCACACTCTGTCTCTCCCTGTCTCAAAAATATAAATAAATAAATAAATAAATAAATAAATAAATAAATAAATATTTAAAAAAAAAGACAGATGGAGTAATCCAGAAGGCTGCCTGGAGGAGGCAGCAATGACAGACCTCCAAGCCCAGTAGGCACTTTGAAACAAGGGAATTTGCTGGGGAGAGGGTGTTAAGTCACGCAGCCATGCCTTGCTAACCTCTTCCACCCTATTGGAGCCCATGTCTCAGCTACAGGCTAACTCCACCTTGCTGGACGGAGACACAGGCCCCAGGGTGGAGATTTTCTGCCAGGTGCCCTCAGGCAGCCCACCCATCGCCTCTAGCCTTGTCGGGAAGGACCCACAGGTCCACGTGCAGCGGGGACCGAACTACGGGCAGTCTGCCAACTTCTTCCCACTTACCCCGATGTCAGCCTGGCATTGGAGCCAGGCTGAAAACGACTTCAGTGGCCACCCCAGCCCGTTCAAGCTGGTGTCCCCAGGTGAGAGGGCCCCTTGGCTTCCAGAGGGGCGGTTGGCACTTCTGGGTGGGTCAGCGGGAGGTAGGAGACCCCCGCCCTGGCCCTGCCTAAGGGAGGCCAGCTCAGCCACCCCCGCCTCCCTCACGGGGCAGCTGCCCCTGGTACCCACCTCTGTGCTGGCTGGTTGGTAGCCTCACCTCCGTTGCCGCTGTTGCCTCTGGGTTGCTGGGCTCCCCTGTCTAAGGCTCTTGGTTCACTGACTTGTAAAGCGACCGGGCCTTTGTGTTGTCTGTCCCCAAGCCCCACAGGCCTCTGCGTGTTGCACCTGTCTGGCCTTTGGCAGCAACAACCTCTGCCCCGTGAGCTTCTCACCTGCCTTGGTCTCTAGACACGGCCATCTCCTGGTTGTCTTCCTCCCTCCCTGGCCAAGCTTTTCAGTGGCCGCTGTCCGGGAGTCTATCTTTGGCACTCTCCTCGTCTCACATCAGCGTCCCTTCCTCCTGTCTCTGTCCTTCCCAGAGGCCAGACTCCTGGGAGAGCCGCGTCACCTCTCTGAGCCTCGGTTTTCCCTTTTATAAAGGGGATATAGAGGGGCACCTGGGTGACTCAGTCGGTTGAGCGACCGACTTCGGCTCAGGTC